TCGGGATACTCGGTGTCTAGTTTTTCTCTTTCTTGCAGAGAAGCGTTCTGCGGATTCTGAGGCTGCTACGGGTCTCTATGCATACCAGAAGGCTTGCCAGGCAAGGCCTGCGAACTTCGCACCGAAAAGGAGCAGTCTCGGCCAGGCTGCCAAGTCATGAACGCCCCTCCGAAAAGTGAGCTCCGGTGACACGTGTACAAGAGCAGCATGTCACCGCTAGTGGTGACCCTCTTATTCTGCAGATTTTGGCTGTCCTCAGTCGCAAAAAGGGAGGCGAACGGGAAAATCGAGCTTGACCCGCCAGGCATCTCAACTCGATCTAGGGCTTGCAGTCACAAGTGCTTTCAAGCTAGCCATGGCCATAGCCATACTGTACCCATTAAAGTCATAACCGTCCAGTGAGGACGGCTCGCCAGCGCACTATCTTAGAGTCTTTTTTGGAATCAGGTTCGACCTTTTTCCCGACGTAGGCACGTAGGCAAGACCCCGAGTTGAGACAAGGGCAGGCCGGGACGGGGATGCTCGGCCCATGGCGTGCCGGGCTCGCGCGCGGCGCGCGCAGCTCTTGGGAGGCGTTCACGGGCGTTCGCTGGACAAGCGCCTTGATCCGGCGTCGAAGGCAGGCCCTGCATCGTGCCATGGAGGATCCCAGCACCAACCCAGCCAAGGCTTCTCGGTAGAAGTCATAAGATTTGGCAAGATGTGCAGAAGAGGGCAGATGTAGGCAGCGTCACTTGAAAGGTACAAAAACTGCGCGAGCGAGCCGCCAGGCCCTCGCACAGCATGTTACGGTATTTGGCCGAGAACAAGATTGGCCGAGTACAGACGCAGGAGGATCGCAAGAAGCTTTGGTATGAGCACAGATATGTTCGGTATGCTCCCAGCTTCATCGGCCAACTGAAGCCGAAGATGCGGCTTTGGACCGCAGCGCTGGAGGAGTCTCAGCTGCCCCTTGCACGGCTGCCAGAGATCGCAGTGTGTGGACGGTCGAACAGCGGCAAGTCCACGCTCTTGAATTACCTCTGCGGCCAAGAGAGCGCCAATGTTCGGAGGTTCCCTGGTAGTACCACGGAGCTGGTTTTTTGGAAGGTGGGCCGCCCCGCGCAGCTATGTCTGGTGGACCTGCCGGGCTATGGATATGCAGAGGCCTCCGAGGAGAAGCGTCTCCAATGGACAGAGTTCATGCTCTGGTACATCAGGGCACGCAAGAACTTGAAGCGCTTGCTTTTGCTTATCGATGCATGCCAGGGAGTGAAACCGGCAGACCGCGAAATGATCGCGTACTTAGAGAGGCACAGTGTCCCATGGCAGATCATTGTGACCAAATGCGACAAAGTTCCTAGCAAGGAAATCGCAAGACGGCTGACAATTTTGAAGGAAGATCTTGGCCAGTACCGGAGGATGGCTGGAGACCCTGTTCCCGTGAGTGCATTGAAACGACGGGGCATGGACTTGCTCCGCGACGGCTTGAACCAGATGAAAGTGGCAAAGGAGATGGTGAAAGAGGGTATTCGTCTGAAGGTCTACGACCTATTGGAGCAGAGACGTATACGGAACCGTGAGCGCCGGCGCCGGAAAAGTGAGAAGAAAGCTGCGGCTGCAGCGTCTGCAGCGGAGGCCGCTGAGGCGACCCGGGCTGAGGCTGATGTCCCGAACGAAGACACAGAAGAGACCGAGGATGCCTTGGAGACTGACCTGCACCATCTCTTGGGGAACTGGGCTTCGTCAGCGCCTCCTCGTGAAGATTTGCAGCAGAGCCCGAGCATTTCCAAAGCTTTTTTCTCATTGGATGACCGAGACTCACGGCGAGTGGACTCGTTCATGTCTTCCCTATTTCCAGATTTGGAGCAGTTGCGTGCTGTGGACGCCTCACCAGCGCAGGTCTCAGCCAGGGATGGAGGGGGTGACCTCGACATGGGCTCGCGTGGGGCCGGCAACCTTCAAGCAGGGCAGCCCCAACCAGACCAAGAGATGAGTACTTTCGGCGACGAGTCAACTTTCAGTGATGACGAAGGCGAAGAAGACCTCGGCGACATCAAGCCCGAGGTGCGGCGCTTCGACTTTCACCACAATTCCGGTGAGACACCAAGGCGGTCAGGCAAATCCCAAGGTCCATCCGGTCCATCCTGGTTCCCAGGCCTCGGACCTTCGTCCTCGCGCGACCAGGGCAAGCCGGGACAGGAAGGCAGCGCCGTGGGCTTGAGGCGGGACCAGAGCAGACCGCGGGGAGACAAGGTCTACAGCGAGGATGACTTCGCTTCGCCCCAGGACTATGCAGCCGGCTTCAGGCGCTGGGCGCCCGCGGCCCCCACAGGAGGCTGGCCCTTGCATCTGCTGCTCTCAGCTCCTTTTTTTTTAAATGCTTTTTAGTTAGAAAGCGCAAGAAGCAGCCATCCGGCCACACCGGTCCGTCCATCTGCACTCTGGACTCATACAGTATATAAGAGAAGCCAAGCAAAAGCGCGTCAAAACCGTTGCTGCGTCGGCCCAGGGGCTCCTGGGAAGCTCATGGCCGAGATCCGGCAGCGCTACGAGCGAGAGTGGTCCATGGAGCTGGAGGACGTGAGCCAGAGCGGCAGGGGAGCCCCGGATGCTGCGGAGCCTCAACGACCGGCGCGGGCTCGGGCTTCGGAGGAGCCGAGGCCCAGGATGCCTTTCGTCACCCAGGAAGGCCTGAAGCCGATTCCCAAGGGCCATGGCAAACACAAGGTGTTCGGCAAGCCACCGGCCAGAATCCTCAAAACCAAGAGGCCACTAGACGTTACGAAGGCCTTGAAGCTGAAGTCAAGGTATCGAACGACGCGAAAGCGCAATACTGGCACAGGCTTGGACTGGGAGGATGCCAAGGAACAGTGGCTGACATGGTACTCCAAGCACAAGCGCGACTGGCGTCTTGTCAGCGAGGCAGATTCGCCAAAGAAGGAGGACGTGGATGCTGCATACGAGACGCTTCAAGAAAGGCGGAGGCAACGTGTGGCGAACCTGCACCGGGCAAGGCACAAAGGAGGCCGTGCACGGGATGCAAATGCCCCGCGTGATGAATCAGCCTTGCCTGAGTGGGCTGGCCGAGATGAGTGATTGCCTGCAGCAGGCTGTGTGCTGCCTTCTGAAAAGAGGTCCGCACTTCGCGTAGCTGGACCTTACGCATGCATGATAGCTTGCCGTGGTGATGATCCGCTCAGCGCACAATGCCTTGGAGCCATTCTGCCCAAGCGGATCAGGCTAATCCTGTCCATCTCCAAGTGCAAGTCTTGTCCTTAGGGTCAAAACTCGCCGTGTCAGTGTGTCGTCGAGCAGGTTGTGATCCGAACTGCCAAGACACTGTGCGAGTTTGCCATAGTTTGGGTGGAGTGCGGCACGCTTCAGAACAAAGAAGAAACCCTGAAACTGCGGTTGCAGCTCTGCTGCTCCATGTTCCGCAAAATCCTTGCACCAGGCGCGACATGATGTGCGATGTCGCCAACTCGCTGGACGTGAGCAGCAACCTCTGGCCGTCTGCGCTTGACGAGAGCAAGGCGCGGGACTGCGCACCTGATCCGTGGGATAGAGACTTCTTCAGAGATGCCATGAGATGAGGAGGGTCAATCAACATACTTGAGAAAGCAAACGCATTGCGCAGAATCAGAAAGAGGCTTTTTTGGTGTGTGTGTGTGTGACACCCTGGACAAAGGAATCCCAATCATGAGCAACACGGGTTGCGAGGCACCGATGAGAGCGGCACCAACAAAGATGCTCGTCAGGAGGGACGCTCAACTGTGTACCTACTGAAGTGATGGAAAAAGGCTAAGCCCGACAACCTCAGTCGGATACAGTCACCTGCATGATTGCAGAAGATGTGAAGGCAAGAAACGTAAACAGCTAACCCATGAACAGCTTCGGCTATCTTGAGGGTCAATCGCATTGTATTGTGTGTGTGTGCGCGTGCATGTCCCACCCTGTTCCCAAGGGTTCTCTGAGAGAAGTGCAGAAGTGTAGCAGCAGGGGGACTGCCTGATCCGTAACAGTGGCAGTCCAACGAAAAGGCTGTTGCAGACCACTGATATGAGCTGGGGACGCCTGGCTCACGTACCTGCTTAATCGTACTTGCTTGTGACATCATATACCTGGTCTTCGCTGTGCACTGATGACTCGTCGCCTTGGATGCTGCTTCGATCTGTCTCTTGGAGTGAGTGCTTGAGTGTCTGTGATGCAAGTGTGCGCACTCTTTATACCTTTAAATACATATATATATATATCTTCGGCATGTGCGAGGCATGAGGATTAAGGCTGATTCCTGACACTTGCTGATTCAACCTGGCTTGGAGTGATATACCTGACTCTCCAGAACGACTTGAGGCCTGCCGACACATTGTGTCAAGTGTGAATCGCAACGGCATTCCCCCAGGGAGGGAGGGAGGAAGGGGGACAGAGGGAGGGAATGGAACGGACTGGACTGGACTAGGCTGCACTGGAATGGAGTGAGTTGAGAGAAGGGAATGCATGGAATGAGTTGGTGAACGGAACGAATGAACGAATGGATGAATTTATGGAGTGGAACCAATGAACTGAACTGGACAAGTGTGAGGACTCCAACAAATGGAATGAATGGATGAATGGCTGAACGGAATGAATGAATGAATGTATGGATGCTGGCTTGAATAGATGCTTGAGTGAGTGAATGATGGCAAGAAAATGAGATTGAACTGAGTGAATGAAATCAAAATGGAATGAAATGAAACGGAACGATCATTGGATTAGTGCACGGACAAATGAACGAATGGATGGACTGATGAATGCAAGTATGCCAATATGAATGAGTAACTCACTGACTGATGGACTCACTGACCGACTGAGGGACTGACTGACGGACGGATGGACGGACGGACCGACTGAATGAATAAGTGAAAGTGAATCAATGAATGACTGAATTGAGTGAATGAAGCGAATGAAATGAATGCGTGGAATGGACTGGAATGGAATGGCATGGAATGAATGGATGAATGAAAATGAATGAGAAGATGAATGAAAATGAATGAATGAATGAATGAATGAAGGAAGGAAGGAAGGAAGGAAGGAAGGAAGGAAGGAAGGAAGGAATCAATGGAAATCTGACTGAATGAGTGAATTGAAAGGATGGAATGAATGAGCGAATGAATGCATGCATGCATGAATGAGTGAATGAAGGAATGGAGTGAATGAAATGAATGAATGAATGAATGAAGGAAGGAAGGAAGGAAGGAAGGAAGGACGGAAGATGAATGGATGGATGGATGGATGGATGGATGGATGGAGTGAATGAATGAATGTATGGATGGATGAATGAATTGAATCGAATTGAATTGAATGTATGGCTGAATGGCTGAATGACTGAATGACTGACTGACTGACTGACTGACTGACTGAATGAATGAATGAATGAATGAATGACGGAATGGAATAGAATGGAATAGAATGGAATGAGCAATGAATGAACGAATGAAGTGAAATGCATGGTATGGAATGGAAGGGAATGGAATGGAATGAATGAACGAGTGAATGAACATGAAGGACTGGCTGACTGACTGACTGACTGACTGACTGACTGAATGAATGAATGAATGATTGAATGGAATGAATGAGTGAGTGAGTGAATGAGTGAATGAATGAATGGGTTGAATTGAATGAATGAGTGAACGAATTGAAAGGATGGAATGAATGAGCGATGAATGAGTTGATGAAATGAATGAATGAATGGAATGAATGAAATGCATGAGTGAACCAATGACTTAATGAGGAGAATGACGTGAATGAAATGAACAAAATGCACGAAGGAGTGAGTGAGTGAATGAATGACTGAATGGAATGACTGCACGGTTGAATGAGGCAATTAATGAACTGAATGAAGACATGTATGAATGTAACAAATGGGATGACTGAAAATGAAGGAAATGAATGAAATGAAGCAAATGAACGACATGAGTGCAATCAATGACATGACGGAACTGAATGAAATGACGGGACATGAAACGAATGACATGAAATGAAATAACTGCATGCATGCATTGAGCGAATGAGCGAATGAACGAGTGGACAACGAACGAGAGAACGAAATAACGAATGAATGACAGGATGAACGAACGAACGAATGAATGAATGAATGCATGCAGCGAAAGGAAGTTGAGAGAAAACGAAGGGACGGAACGGAACGGAATGGAAATCAACGGATGGATGGATGGATGGATGAGTGAATGAACGAGTGAATGAACTAAAGAATGCAATGAGCAAGCGGAAAGGTGGCTGGCACACGCTCTTAGCATAGTTGTTTCGAGGCAATTGGGCAAGGGTGATTCAAGATGTGCTGGAACAGAACAGGCTTGACTCAGTAGCATGAGCTAGCAATTATGTTGTATCAGCTGTTGTATGTATGACAAGATCAGCATGGCCGCAGGCAATGCAGCAAGCTTTCTTGTGCTGCTACATGTGCTTACGTGAAAGTGCTTGGTTTTTGACTATGTTGGCACGTGCTGGAGGCTTGGGCAGGCTACTCGAACGAGCCGATGAAGGCGCAGCCTGCAGTTCTGCGCAGGCCGATCGGGTGCTGTTTGGCGCCAGGTGCCACTGCCGCAATATGCGGAAGAGAAGCAATCCTCGCTAGGCCATATCGCAAGTGTTTGATGCAGCTGTGAGCTCCAGCAGCTGGCTTCAAAGGCTACTTTCGGCTTTTTTCCTAGGCCTGAGTGGCCCTCCTTCGCAAGTCTTCATTCCCATGTCCGGCCCGCGGAATGCGCTCTTGGTATTTTTCCGCCGAGAACGTCATTTCACATTAGCACTTTGCTAGGTCCCAGTGCTTACTTTCACGGAACAACACTCCCTTGAGGCCTCAATGTCCTGAGACGGGGAGAGTCCTTCGATTTCAGGACGCTTCCAAAAAGAGTCGGAGCTCTACTCAGTCTTGGTATCACGGGGCCCCTTCAGGACACTTTGGGCATGCCGGGGTCGCCGTCGGACCATTTTGATGCCACGGCCGAGACTCCGGGATCTGCTGCTTGGCTAAAAGGGGGCTGTCGATGGCTGCATTTATTTACATTTCCTCTTTTGGCTTGGAATAAATACTGGTATGAGCCTACATAGCTACTATCCTAAACCCAAGCACCTAACTATTGAACATAGTCAGCTGGGCGGGTGGGAAAACAACTATTGAATTGTGCGTTTCTTTTGTATGGCATCGCGTCGCATCCAGGTCGTTACCCGGGCAGGAAACAGAGTCTCTTTCCCACCAGGCACGAAGCCACCTTGACTCTTTCAAGCGCTGCTTTGCTTGTGCTGTGTTCGCCAAGAGCATGCAGCGCTGTTTGGGCACTGCTCCAGGATTGGACCCGCCTGTCAACGACTTAGATTGGCATTTGCAGTCGGGTTCCCGCAGCATGTGCAAGCAGTGTCTCAGGTGAACACCCCAAGTCACGGATCCACGCTCCATGCGGATGGGACCTGCAGCTTCAACGCAATGGTATCTTGATGTATCTTGTAGGCAGTTTGTTGCGCCTGAGCCGAGGCAAGCCCTGCGCATGGTTTTGGAAACCGGGCTCTTGCCAGAACGGAGCCTTCGCGGAAAAGGGCTTTCTTTTTGCATGGCACCATTGCAGAAGGTAGCCTACCTTGCTCAGGAAAGGACTGCATGCACTGCCACTTGTGCCCAAAAGATGAGCTCAAAACGAGGAAGAAAGCCAAGCAAGCCTCCCAGCCTGGTCAGTGGGCACCTGTGAGGTAAGGAGCTTTGGCTAGTTCACTGTGGCGAGACCTAGGTCGGCCTTCATGCGGCTGGGCGAGGGGGCCCAGAGGGCCCATGACGTCTCACCTCACCTCTGTTCGGAGAAAGTCGGACCCTGTCCAGGTTTGACCACCCCGAAGCCCACTGCCGAAGAAACGGCAGCGGTCCAGCTCGCCTTGAGTTCAGAGCCCAAGAGCACGGACTATTGACCTTGCAGGCATCAAGGTTCTGTCAGCTTCTCCACACGGCTCAGGCAGTTTCTGCATGTCGCCGAAGGCCAAGGAGAAGGCAACGTACGTTGAAGAGACTAGGGAGAGGGTCTCAGAGGGTTGGTGTGTAAGGAGTCTGGTGCATCAAGTGCTGGATTCGCAGGCAGATTGTGAGACTTCCGAACAAGGTGGGAGATGGTGCTTGTGTGTGTGTGTGCGCGTTGCGTCGCAGCTCTGCATGTGTCAGGCTCTACCGCTGCATCAACATCGGAGCGGGAATACTCTGAAGGATCTACAAGCCCTCGACTCCCACCCGGACTCCCACCCGGACTCCCCACAGGCCTGCAGTATGCTTGTCGCAGCCACGTGCTTGGCAAAAGCATCTTGGTCTTGCAGGTGCAACCGAGGCTGGCGTCATGTATGGCTGACTGTGGCTGTGTTCTTGCCACTGGCCGCGCCTTGTTTTTCGCCCTTGGCAGACGAAGCTGGCCAGCCAGGGAAGCGACCTACATGGTAGCGGTTCGCATCTCAGCTGAGAGTGCGTCCCGAGACGCTCGGATTTGAGTGTTTGGAGGAAACTGCCGCCCCTGTGCCTGGTTCTGGAAGCCGACGGGGTGCCTGAACGGGGAGGAGTGCCGACACTGCCACATGTGTCCACCTGGCGAGGCCAGTAGAAGGCCGGTAGGAAGACAGGCCGATCGTGTTTTTCTCTCAGGTGAAGAGCCGGAAGAAGAACAAGCTTGTCCGTGCCTCAAGAATGAAGAAATTTCCGAGGGTCCGCGCCCTTCTATGAGGCCATGCTGCGGCTGGGTCTGGCAACACCAACGGCTGCCCAGCAGGCGTGGCACCGAGTTCAGGTCTTTCCGGTTTTCGAGAACACGTCCCTTTGGTGTTTTCTTTGAGGACTCCTTCTTCATGGACTCGCCGACCCATGCCTGACCGGTGATGTTAGTCGAGGCTGCCGCCAATCTGTCAAACGCCCCAAGCTCTTGGCCGTACACGACTTCAGGCGGAAGATCAAAGCCTTCAGAAACCGCCCAGGATCCCTGATCTGCAGAATTGCATGCACAGAGCTTCGCCGAGGGATGGTGCTTTTGCTATCATTGAATGGCGTGCTTGCACATGCCAAGCTGCATACATCTGCCTTAGTGGGGCACACGCTGCATGCTTTTTCCCATGGCTGGACCGGAGGTACGCGCAGGCCACATGTGTCTTGTGATGTCTCGAGGTCTCGGCTTTTTGTTATTTCAAGCACGAGGATGCCGCTCTTGCAAGTATCCAAGCTCCGGTTTGTGTTTGGCACTCTACGCATCTGAACACACTCCGATCTCTATCTATGATATCGCTGACAGGCAAAGCCTAGTCGCATGCAGTCCAAGACTGCTTTTCCATGCGACAGTTTATCAGCGGATCCCGCGAGATCTTTCGAATCACATGTGTCGAGGAAATCGTGCGGGCTGAAGTTGCAGCCGCATCTCTGCCCGACCTGAAAGCTCCAGTTACATGCAAAGGACTGTTCGTGGCATCAGGGCTTAAGACATTTCCGGTAGCTGTCGTCTCGACGGCCCTGACCTGGTGGAAGCATGACAAGCAAGGCGGCTTTGTGAGGCAACTGTCCGGACCAGTTGGAAAGTCTTCGTTTCCAAAACGCATGGACCATGGCCACCGTGGTGATGGCCCCTTGCCGGTTTGGCCGCCAAGCGTTTGGCACCAAGCTCAGCTTCAGTTCTGTTGTAGATCTGCAGCCTGTGGAAGGCGCGAAGAAATCCCGAACAACAGGTGGAGTGATGCCGATGGCGCTCGGCGACTCCAGCACTGGCAGGAGCAACTTGGACTATCATGGGGGAACCCACCCATGATGTGGAAGCACCTAAAAGACTCATACTCTTCTGAGCTTTCGTTAGGTTGTTCTGTTTCTTGAGCCGATCAGCTCATACCCAGAGTCTTGCAGCGTCGGCTTGGGCAGCCTCAAAATCAGTAACTTACTTCAAGCAGCTCGAGGCACTAACAGTGGAGGAGGCTAGTCGCTGCGCTCGCCGTATCGGCACTCGATGGCAGCCAAACGGACCATAGCAACGAAACACGGAACAGATCGTCGGGCAAGCGCCGCAGCAATTATAAGCATTAGCTCATAAGCCCTTGGCAGTCGCCTGCTTGCGATGGTGCCTGGAGCAGCGGACGGTCTTTCTTTTCATGTTGTGCCCCAAGCAGCTCACAAATCGAATGATGCACTGCATCCCGCCGAGACCTTCGAGGCCTCGTCTCAGATTTCGTTCACAAGACCTCTGAAAAGACTAGGTGACTAGAACAGAAACTCGATCCTGTGTGAGCTTTCGATCTCACCCGGCAGTGCCCGAGATCCTTATCATTATCAAGAAGACATTCAGTAAATTCATCACATCGGGCAGAGGGAAGAACACTGAGGACTTGAGATCGCATTTCGCACAACTTCACATCATGAACTGAACTGCCTCCTGGAGATTGGAGAAATCCAAACTGCCTCCGTTACAGGAAGTGAAACCTCAAGAGGGGCATTAAGCATCGGCGGCGTTTGTTCTGGTTTTGGGCGTCGGGTGGCTTCGAGTGCTTTGCCGGCCCTTTGTAAACGTCCAGTCGTTCCCCGAAAAGCTTCAAGTTGTCCATGTTGCACTGCTGTCGGAGACGGTCTGATTTCAGGGTCCCGGCCCCACATCGGACGAACTGAGCCAGAATTTCCCCAAAGGAAGCGCAGCTTGAGCGGGCTGCCGCGCTTCACGCACCTGTGCAATGCAGCGGCTCAAGCAGAAACTGGGCTGCAGAAGTTGCACTCGGTCAGCTCTTCTCAGACCTTGCGCCGACGGCGCAGCCGGCAGCAAATCTCTCGTGGCGAGGTGCCCCTCACGCTCGACGAGCGTGCAGCAGATGTCTCGTACTTGGCCAGTGGCCTAGAGCGTCGCCAACAACCACCGCCAGTGGTGTTAGCTCTGTGTGTGTGTGTGTGCATATATATATACACACACACATACACAGAGCTAAAGCATACGCAAGGATTTGGACATGCGCGATGAGGAAGGCATGACCCCAGGCAGGATTGCCGAACCGTCAAACTGTTTGTCGCTGAACATGGCGTGAGTTTGTCAGGTACAGGTACTTGGCTATGTGCACGCCGGGATCTACACAGGGCGGTGGCTTTCGTTGATACAGCTGTTGCATCAGGTGGAAGAGCATTCAGCAGCACCGCACTTTACCGATGTCATGGCAGCTGAGAACTGCGAGGGGAGGGACAAGAGAAGGTCAGACTAGCTCGGCTCAGAGCCAACTGTCGTGCAACTGCCACGAGGTGGCACGGTGCTGGTAAACTGCTTTGCTGGGATGAACAGATCTGGCGCAATCCTTTTGGCCTGGCTTTTGCTACACCGGGAAAGTGACGGGAGCTTCGGGTTGCAAGTTTCTTTCTGGTTGCTTTGATGCACTTGCCGCAACATGGCCTCCGTGGCTTCGTGCCGCGCCAGCCAAGGACTTGTCTTGGATTCACCCCAGATGGTGCAGCAGCCCATCTGCGGAGCTTGGAGCCCTTTGCTCTGAACAATCAGAGCCTACTGGATTGTGCATTGAGCTTGAAGGTGCCGAGTCCGCAACTGCCATGGTCTGGGAATCAGATACAGCACACGACCTGCTACGCATGTCAGGACAGTCCGCGCCCACCATTCGGCACGCAGGACTCAATGTCAAAACAGAAGATCGGCCAATGCTTTGTGGCTGTCATGCCGTTATCCGGCTTCCTGGAAGGAGCACTGGATCTTGAGACTTCCAGAAAGGCCTGCTGCAGCTCCGGAAAAGCGCTTGGTCGAAGAATTTGAAGATTCCGAGGGTCTCATGCCCTTGATTTGAGTCTTCCGTGCTGGCCTGCAGCGAGATGAGCCACCCAACGGCAGAAAGCTTGGCTCCAACAGAATGTTGCCGACCTCCGATACATCAAGAAGGAGCCCGAAACAGCTTCGCTGAGCAGCTGCGACGCGGTTCCATCACGACTTCAGCGAGATCACCGCCTCCTGCGTCTCAGACTGTGACAGCATGTAACCAAGGAAAAGCGTGCAACTAATGCTGTTGAAGGTGAGAGCTTGTAGTATTCCTGTTGCAGCGAAGCCAGCATTGCTTCGCGGCATGTGGTCTGGCTCAAACATTAGACAACACGGATGTGTTGGAGATTATGTGATAGCGATGGTGGACCCAGCGAAAGAGCCGGGCAACTGGACTGAGCACACCCACAGCGATGGTCGACGGTACTACTACAACAAGGAGCCGACAGAAGTGTATGCTTCTGTCTGCTTACGATCTTGAACTTTTGGAGCTTGGTTTGGGCACTCAGGGGCCGGAATAGTGCTCGCAACGCAGGTCACAAAGCAGTCCAGCTGGGATAAGCCGGAGTGCTTGAAAAATGCAGATGAAAAGATGAACACCACCAGCTGGAAAGAGTTGCTCGGACCATGACATGTCCTGCCTTCGTCACGTTGCCCGATGAGCGGGCTTTGCAAGGTACAAGACGGCAGATGGACGGGATTACTACTACAACCCCATCACGAAGCAGAGCGTCACGCAAATGCAATGAGCGGGTTGCCGCTTGCACGCAAGGGACTCTTGAACCAAGGTTTGGGAAATGCCTGCGGAGCTGAAGCGCTTGAGAGGGCTGGCCAAGGAGGACGAGAGTGACGACGCAGCCTGTTCGCAACAACTTGGCATTGGAGTCGTCCTACGATAACTGCAACGCTAGTCTTCTTGTCCAGCTGCATGTCCGTTTCAAACTTGATGGGCCAGGGACGCTGCTAAGGAGAAGGACAAGAAGCCAAAGAAACAGGAAGAGCCAGACTGGAAGACACCCGAAGATAGACGCAATGCATTCCGACAGGCCACTATCTCACTCAGATCAGCTTGTGACCACGACGCACAGTCATGCAACGTCAGCAATCATAGCATGGTCTCGCAACCCTGTCAGTTGCTCGAAGACAAGGGCATCAAGAGCAATATGAAATGGGAAGATGCCCTGAAGCTCATCCAGGAGCCTCGGAATCGCGGAGAGTGGATAGGTACCGCAAATATGCTAAGTGTCGCACTTGAGCTCCAGCTGTCCGCCAGCTCCGTTTCGATTCTTCAGGAGGACAGAAGATTCGGCGCTCTAGCGGCTGCTGGGGAAAGGAAGCAAGCCTTTGCTGAGTACATCACGCAGTCCAAGAAGCGAGAGAAGGAAGAGGAACGCGAAAAGAGAAAGAAAGCGAAGGATGACTTCATCGATGCTCTGACCGCATGGAAAGATTTGAAGCTCACGACAAGATACAAGGATGCCGCCGAGCATTTCTACAACGAGGAGTGGTTCAAGCTGCTGGAGGAAGATGAGCGTGACTTGCCTACTGGGCCGCAGACTCCAAAAAATAACCACCCCTTGTTGGGAGTGCCTCGCGGAATCAGTCAAGCAATGAAGCCCGAGCAGCCCCAGCCTCTCTGATCTGTTCACGGCATGTATTAGAGTGCTGCATCCACTGCCGAGGTGTTGAAGTCTTCGACGACTTCATGGACGAGAACGAGAAGAAAGCCAAGGAAGACAGGAGAAAGAAGCGGAAAGAGTACGTCGAGAAGATCAAGGCCCGACCCGAGCTGTTGTTGCTTTGTCCATTGATCTGGCCTTCGGACCCGGCATTCTACGCTGCTACACTGCTACACATATCAGGAAATCTATACGAAGGAGGAGAAGATCACCGTACTCAGTCGCTGGCGGGATGTGCAGGATGCTCTGCGTGAGAACGAGTACTTCAAATGGCTCTCGAAGCTTGAGGCCTTAACCTCCTGGGAGGAGTGGGTTTTGGATACTGAGAAGGCGGAGCTGAAGGACAAGACCAAGGCGAAGTACCGTGCAGAGCGGAAAAACCGGGATGCCTTCAGAGAACTGCTCCGTCAGCATGGAAAAGAGGGCAAGATCACCTCGAGCACCTTCTGGGGGGACTATGCCGAGGAGCACGATGTTGTGAAGGACTCTCGGTACGTCGCCCTCATCGCTCAGCCGGGCTCCACACCACACGACTTGTTCGACGACTACTTGGAGGAGCTTGCAGACAAGTTCTCCCAGGACTCGGGGCTTCAAGGGGAAGGGCCGAAGTGAAAGCGCAGGTCCGAGCCCTAGTCGTAGCGTAGGCGCACCGTGGTCTTCGGATGTCAGGACAAGACGAAGCTGAAGAAGCTAGCAAAGTCCAAGGGATTGACGATTACTCAGAGCTCCACCTGGGAATGGTTCAAGACCGAGCTGAAAGATGAAGCCGTTTTCAAAGACATACCTGAAGATCAGTGCAAGACCCACTTCGAAAGCCTGGTCTCAAAAGCCAAGGAAGTCGAGGAGGATGCGGACAAGGCTTCACACCTTCTAGGTACCCCTTCCCAGTGCCTTTCAGAATCAAGGCCGCAAGTGCCCAGTAGCCCAGGTGGCCAAGAAGAATCGAAAGAAGTTCGTGGAGCTGCTGCAGAAGTCCAAGGAGATTACGGCCAAGACGAGCTACGAAAAGGCTGCAAAGCTGCTTGGCTCGAGCCCCGCTTGGGAGGCCATGGAAGATGCCACGCGGCGACAGTGCTTCGACATCTTTGTCGACCAGCTGAAGATCCAGTCCGGAGGGAAGGAGGAAGAGGAGGAGAAAGAGGAGGAAGAGGAGGAGGATGCCACCACCAAGAAGAAGGAGAAGAAGAAGGAGGGAAAGGCAACCAAGAAGAGGAAACAGGAGGAAGATGAAGACAAGGACAAAGAAAAAGAGCCGCCCAAAAAGGCAAAGAAAAAGAAGGACGATGATGAAGAAGAGGGGGCAGTAAAAAAGAAAGCGCGCAAGAAAGGATAGGACCCAAATGGTTCATGTCGACTTGCAGCCAAAGGCTTGCGGCATGCGCACAAACGGCTTCCACAACCAGCTCCTCCATGAGTCGCCCGAGCTGCGCTGAGCTTCAGCCCGACGCCATCCTAGGACCAAGCTCAGAGCCGAGGTCCGGCAAAAAGGTCGCTTTGTGCGGAGGGTGCGCTGTCAGCCTCAGCTCCCGGCCCCCCTCTGATCATACGCAGCGGTCTTATCTTGGAGCCCCTTCCTTGGGGCCATCTCCGCCCCATCTCCTCCATCTTCATTCTTGGCCGGGGCACCTTCGGAGGAGATGGCATGGGCCATGTTCTGCGTCAGGCGAATTTTAGGGGGCTGTGGGTGCTTAGTGAGGCGATTGCAAAGTCACAGGGAGAGGGTGCCGAAACTCTTCATCTGGCGATGTGTAGTCTAAGCCAGCTAGTGAGCTCGCCGCGTGCCAGCCCAAATTTGCCAAACTCTCGCTTTCTTGCAATCTTACAGTACCTCCTCCCACAAGGTGAACAGTAGGCTTCTGTCTGTTCTCTAAAGTCTCCCAGTCTTGCAGAGAGGGTAAGGCTACTGTAGCCGTTCCGCTGCTAAAGGCCCTGATACAAGCTCGAAACGCTGAAAGCCATGCGCTATCAACTCCAAGGATTTGCAGCCCGTCAACTATTCAAAAGCACTTGGGGAGCCGCAGAGCACACAACCCCTCCACTCCTGAGCCACTGTCATTTCAGCCTTTCAGCCTTGTCAGTTGTAAGAATCGCCTGGCCTGCAATGCTTGGCTGCCCATCTGGATTTCGTGCAAGGACACGTTGTGGATAAGAGGTCATAAGAGCAGCTCGGCGGCGGCACATCAAGGATGCCAGACTCAGATAATTTCTCTCTGAGTGGCCTGCTGGAAGAACTGGAACTCGAGATCGAGGACCGTGAAAAGTCCTTGGATCAGAAACGAACCCCTCTGCAGACGGACAAGTCGGCGAATGAACCGGCGGATGCAGTCGTTCCTCCCAGCACCGCCACGGCCGACGACTGGCAGTTCATGGGTCTTTTGGAGGGCTTGGAGGGCAGCTCGACGGCAGAGACATCCATGTCTCGGAGTAAGGACAGGCAGAGCCTGGAGGGAATGAAGCGAGAAACTCGGGAAGCTGCCATCCAAGTTCCGCGGCCATGGCCTGAATCCGATAGCCAGCTCGTGGCTTTCACCAGCCTGGCTTCAGATGCCAATTCTGCTTATAGAAGCTACATGGAGGATGGGTCACTTAGTCTTCACCCCTTTGAGCAAGGCTCAGGCAGCTCCAGCGACCGTTGGGGCTTCTTTGCTGTCTACGACGGCCACGGTGGCCGTGAGGCGGTAGACTACTGCGAGATGCGCTTGCATGAGCAAGTCGCCCTTGAAATGAAGACGTCAAGCCCCCTAGATGCATTGAAGACGGCTTTCCACAAGATCGACAGTCAGCTCGGCATGTACGGTGCTTGGAACCATGGCACCACTGCAACAGTTGTGTTGGTGCAGGGAACCAAGGCGGGGCGAAGCCTCCACATTGCGCATGTGGGGGATTCGAGGGCCGTTCTGATTGACAACATCGGCTGCTGCAGAAGCCTCACCAAGGACCATCGGCCCACAGATCCGGAGGAGGCAAAGCACGTGACTAAGGGTGGTGGGATCGTGTCTGGCGGGAGGGTCGGAGGCGATCTGGCCATTTCCCGATCGCTTGGAGACCATCGTTTGAAAGGCAAAGGGTTGAGCTGCACTCCGGACTTGTCCACCGTCAGTGTTGCATCTGGGCATGCGCTGATCGTGGCGACGGATGGCCTATGGGATGTTGTCAGCGATGAGGATGCTTGCAGGATCGTCGAGAGGTCTGTTGAGCAAGCAGTTGGGGTGCACAAGAACCCAACAGATGTTTCAGAATGGCTTCAGCAGCACACTTCACAGGAGTTGGTTGATGAAGCCAAGCGGTTGGGGTCGAGAGACAATGTTCTGGTCCTCACTCTTTTCTTTTGAAAGCCACCGCCGGGACCCTGCAAGTGCTACGTTAGTGCTTTTCGATGCCTGTCAAACTGACGGGCTTGTTTCATCCACTCGAGCCTGGCCACGCAAGCTCCGCATGCGAGCTTCTAGCGAATGGCTATAGCTTGCAGTCTTGTGAGTGTTTCGTCTACGCCGTCAGTGAAAGGTTTATTCGCATGTCGCTTTGCAGCCTGTCTGTTATGGACGACGGGCACGGAATCCATGACGTGTTGCAGTCTTCGGCTCGAAAGAGAGCCCTCGTAATTTGAAGTCGATTTTGTTACCTCGCTCTGCAGTGGCCTTGGGGGAGAAGTTCCTGACAGTGGGTGTTGCGTTCGTGGGGTGCCTTTGGTGTCGGTGTTTCGGTGTTGCTGAGGTCACAACATGTATTTCTTCAAGACATTTCTGCGGCCGCCTCTGAAGTGTATGGAGAGCCAGGCAAGTGGAAAACACTGCCGTGTGGAGCAGTGGCCTGCTGCCTGGTCTGAGCATGCCAGGCATCTGAACCTCGTCTCACAGACTGTGATGAAGAGCTGTTACTTGGATTGTTAGACTCGTGGCTATGTTGCTGATGTCGTGGTTGTCTCCAGGACGTTTCGTGCCAACCAAGGGTGGGCCACGTGGGTTCCGGGAAGCTTGTTCACAAGGACCTCGGACGAGATGCATGAGCCTTTCAAAGGGTCAGCCGGTTTGGCAGGAACCCGCCACGACCCTGAGCATGAAGCAGCCATTGTTTGGTGTCGTTCGAGGTCCGATTTTGAGTGGAGCGCAGCGCATGGGTGGCAGGGGCCCAGTGACCGTTGAACAGCTTCACAGACATGCCCAGGCTCATCGTCCAACTCTTCCAGCTCTGCTGCCCTGTTGAATTATGGCGTTTGCAGCTGCAGCTTATGTTTGTACTGACCAAGCCATTTTTGGCTTCATGATGTCATGCCATCATGTCACCCAGGAGCCAGAAATCGAAGTGGGCTCCCCGAAGATCTGCTTTCTCACAAAGCCTCCTGTCCTAGGTCCCAGAGGCCTGGTGCACCTTGAGCTCTGCCGAGGTCGAGCCTGGTGCAGAGATGGGCATCGATGAGTGCATTGAGATCGTTGCCCCCTTACTGGCATATACTATTATACTGCCTCTACTTGACACAAAGACCGAAAGCTGGGCCTGCAGGTTGGCGAGGCCCAGCCCTGGTCAGATGCACGCCCCGTGACAGCAAAGACCATGCCTGAGTGTCGAGCGTTCCTCACCATTCAAACGTAAACATGTCTTGCTGCAACGCTCACTTTAAAGTTGTCCTGGTTCGTTGGGACATTCGTTCGAAGCCTCGAGCTCTGCAGTCCTAGTAGGGGCGCTCAGGAAGGGGAGGGTCTTGAGTTTCCCAAGCCTACGGCAGACGCGTACCTGAGTAAGTTCTAGGCTCCTGAATCGGGTTCTTGCTGTTTCTGCATCTTTTTGCAGGCTTTGAGCACATCCGCTTATTGCAGAACGCTGCCCGAAACCAGGGCAGGGTCGAGCTACAGCGCCTTGGCATCGTGATGACCTACCGGTTGTTCTTGGGAAACACGACTCACGAATCACGAAGGAAAGATCTCTCGAACGGAAAGTTTGTGGCAGTGAAGCGAATGCCGATTACATGGACTGGCCTGAACCATGAGGAGCTGGGCTTAGTCGCTTTGCAGACTTATGTCTGTGTCTGTTTGATTGCGATCGGAGGACTTTGTCCGCCAACATTCGTCCGAGACAGAGTTGCCGTGGGTCGACATCGGCTTGGCCTCTTGGCGGCTGAAGCGATAGCTTGATGGTGATGGCCATATTCTGACCAGCTCGCAAAGGCCAAGTACTTGCATGCAAAGGGCTTCCGCTTCATATGCCCCGGTGGCGGCAGAAAGCTTGCGGTATGTTGGTGTGCAGGCCGTACGGCCGTGTGCAGTGCTTGGAGACGCCTGACATGTTGTTGAGGCGAGCCGTATGGCACCTTCCGCAGCGAAAGAGACTTGTCTCGATACTTCCCCGACGGAAAGCGCATGCAAGCGAAATGTGGCAAGAACGGGTCTCAGCTTTGTCAGGTGAGACGTTTTTTGTCTCCGAGTTCGCGGATAAAGGTGATCTGCAACTTGTCGGCAGAAGGGTTTCTGCACCGAAGTGCTGATCGGCTGGTTTCTTCGCGATGCACTTGGTTATCCTTGATTCCAAGGTTTGAGTGGTGCCAATCTGGCCCAACCCCTGGCCCAGAGCGCGAGCCACATGGCTGAGACACCGGAGTGGAACGGATTCTCTATCTTCGTCTGAGATCAGAAAAGAAACGGGCGGTCGAGTTGGGGAATCTTCCGATATCTTCCGCCTGCTGCAAGGCAGATGCTCCGACCTGTTGCACGGCAGCTTCCTGGTTGAACAGCAGATGCTTTCGCAGATTCGCAGGTACTTCGCAACGCTAGGGTTCAGGCTCACGTTAGCCGTTAGCGTGCTTTCCGGTACTTGGAACACTCAGGATTGTTAGCGCCGTCCGGCATTTACACAGCCTCTCTATAGCACATCTCGATCTGTCGCTGGAGAACTTTGGCAGAAACGACGGCACAACCGTGTCGCATCATGCAGTGCTATCCTTCCGGCTGTTCTGCCTGCGCTTCAAGGAACATTCTCCTCGCAACGAGCTCAACAGACGGAAGCCCTCAAGTGAAGCTGATCGACTTCGGCATGGCCACCATCAAGCAAGACTTCCTCGTCAGCGCCTCAGCGGTTTTCGCTCGAAATCGCCGGCCTGGCTCGGCCAGGCCGGCTCGGCCTGCGAGGCCGGCCCCCGCGGGAAGCCCTCCTACCAGGCCCCAGAGATGCACGAGCAAGCGAGCTACGAAACCTCGCAGCACAGCAGGGTCAAAGCGTGGGCAAGAGTGAGCAATTGAGAACCTGCTGAGGATCCTTGTTTGGCTGATGCCTTCTCTGTGGGTGTGGTTCTCTTCGGGTAGCTTGGTATCAACCCAGAGATCACCAGAGGCCTATCATAGGACCTTCGACCCGAGGATGGTGGCGCAAGACTACCCGTGGTTGTCAACCAAGCCATCACCTCAGCTCCAGCCTTTCGGCTCTCTGGAGGCTCCTCGTTCTCGTTCGCTGAGGCCCAATGGCTGTAAATGCTTCGAGTTCACGCGGCAGAAAGGACTTGAGGCGTACTTGATCAAGAGGAAAGCCAGCAACTCCGAGCAGAAGCAGCATACTTTTGCTTTCTTTGCATTGGCTCTGGTCCTGCTTCCAAGTCCTTCGATCGAGAACATAAGGTTTGGTTCTTTGTTCACTAGAGAAATGCCTCTTGTTCACTCTGCCTGGAGCGCTTGAGGCGTATCGCGTGCATAGGCGCCGTGTTAAGTCGAGTCAACTCAGGGAACAGCAACGGGGCTCGGCTTAGCCAAGTCTTCAGCGCAGCTTGGCGTGGAATTGAGTGAGACCGTGTGTCGAGTTGGGAAATCTAGGGTTGAAGGTTTAAGAGATGGGCGATAAGCGGGCCGCGGGCATGACAGCAGTTCTTAGTCTTGGTATAACACCCAAGCGATCTGGGGGAGGCGGAGGGACGGCTTCATGGTTGGATCTGAGGAATCTCTTATGGAATTGCTGGAGGCCTTGCTGAAGGTCGACCCTGCAGAAAGGTCAAGGCCGGATTCAATGCACCGCTCGATATCTCTCGAGATATGGCCCCTCATGTCATGTCAGATGCATCGGTGTCAGGATTGACTCGAATCTCAAAGCGTGGCTGGGTGAAGATGTGTGGTAGATCTCCGCTGCTTCACAGCCCCCTAGCCCTGCAGGCCAGAATGCCGGGCAGATGGCAGTAGCTTAGCTATGCTTAGCTGACACACTTCTCACAAGCTCTGTCAGGTGGGCTGGGACGGCGCTTCGTTTGAATAGCCAAACTCTTTACGTACAGCGGCTGATTTTTAACTCAGCACAGACGCTTGGCACAGCAGGTGCAATCCTGATGCTGCTAGCACGATGATGCTGACATCATCCATGGCAAGTTGCCAATCTAGTCGGCCATCTGAAGGTTACGGCAAGTTGTCCAACGGCTTCCAGTTTAATTTTCCACAGCCGCACGGCTTCTGCCGGTGCGGGGCCACGGCTTCTCCGTGGGATGTGCACGCGAATTGTTTGCTCGGAACAGTCAGTCTGGCAGTGTTGCAAGCTGTCAAACCTTGCACCCTGAACAAGTTGCACCCGCCTGTAAGATGACGGTTGCAGAATGTTGCAGGTCTAGCATTCTCCCTTCGCTGTTTTGTTTGTCTATGCTAGCAGATGCTCGATGTAACTTGAATAATTCGTCACTCCGGTTTTCGCTATTTTCTGCACCCCGGCTTTGCGGCAGTGTTGCCTCAACCGGTCGGTGCTTGTGTAAAGGTCCGAAGCTGTCATGTTCATTCCCTGCACTTCGTGAACCTCGGCTTGAGGTTTGCGTGTCGGGACTTCCGCATTCAATGTATGGTTGGTAAGGGCAAGGCTGATTCTAAGTGTGCTCAAGCTGCTGCGGAAGGAGCTTTTCCAGGGCTTCGGATAGCCTTACTGGACCACAGACGTGGCAGGGCTCTCCATACAAAGCTTCAACATGCAGGAACTTGCACTCAGAAACACTCTCGTTAGACTTTAGATGTGCTTTGGCGGTCGGGGAAGCCTGCGAGGCACAGCCTCGGTGGAGCCCATTTGACTGAGTCAGACTGGGAGCTGAGCCTGTGAAGCTCTGGATTTCCTGACCACAGCGGAGAGCAGTGCTCCGAGTGCGCTAGACTTCAGATCAGATCATCTGCTTCTCCCCCGCGGCGTGGAGCAAGAATACATGACGCGCACACTAAAACCGACACGAAGAGGTGCCCCGTCACCAGAAAAAGTTCCGACTTTTGCGTGCTACTGCGAGTTGGACTAATGTGAGTTGGACGGTGTCTGAGTGTGTTCGGTTTTCCGAATCTGTTCACCTGTGTTCGCCTGATTAAGCTGCTCAGGGCAAGCTGCGCAAGCCTGTTCTCACTCGCGGTCGCGGGTAGCTTCCGACATGTGCGGGAAATGGCCAGGTTGAGATCAAGTGATGGTGCTTCTGGGAGGGCAGCTGGCATTGTACTCTTTTTGTGCGGCTTTTGCGTGCTTGTAAGTGGCCCGTACGGCGGCACTTTGCGGCGGCATGGTGGCAACCCAGGACGTTTTCGAAGTCGACTTGGGCACGGTGGCCTTGAGCCCCGTCCTTTCAAGTGTGGCAGAAATGGGAGCCACTTGACTGGTCAGTTTCAGCCCAAGGCGTCTGCGTCTTCGAAGGGGGAACCCTTCGATGCCGCGTCGGTGCCTAAGGACGGTGACGAGGTTCCGCTGCCCCTGGTGGACAGCATTTCGCTGCGATGGGTTCTTGCACACTGCCGTGAGTACCATGCACAGGGCAAGTGGGTCCTGAGCAAGAAGACGCTCAGTCTTCTTCCAGCAACTTTTACCGGTTTGGATTCTCAAGCTTCACCTGCGGTGCTCCTGCGGTTCCTCTCATTTTTGAAGGCTTTCCAGTGGAGGGCCTGGTGACTTGGAGAGACTGCTTTGGGCAGCTGATTTCCTGGCATTAGATCTTTTGGTCTCGCTTTGCTTGGCGAAGCTGGCATCCCGACCACAAATTGTCACGCACGCGCATGTTTTCCATCGCACTCTCCCGGTAGAGAAGTCGCATCTGCTGAGAGACTGAGGCCAGCTTGCTCCAGGACTGATCTTTGCAACCTCGTGGGTGCTGCACGTGTGACACTACCAAAACACTACATTGTCCGGGCTTGAAAGGGTTCTCAAGGATGGGTTGGCAGGCGCGGTTTGAAATTGAATCCATGTAGACGGCAGGAGCGGCAGGGCACGAAGATCTCGCTGCGAGCCTTGTGTCGATGCTTGGAGCTTAGCCTGAAGCCGGAACCGATGATGGCCGTGCTAGAAGCGCTCCAGGAACAGGCAGCTTGTGGTGATGAAACTGCCTTAGCCGCCCTCAGCAGATGCCAGGGGCATGCTGCGGCAGCAGTGAGGCTCGCAACGGTGCGGGCTCTCGAAAGGCTAGCTCCGAGGGGCCACGCTGCTGCGACACGCTTGCTTCAATCCCGCTTGCAGCTCGAAGCCGTTGAAGACATTCAAACAGTCATCCTGCGGGCGCTGACAAGCATTGGCACAAGATTGACGCAACCATCGCCGCCACAAGCCTTGTACAGCATCCTGAGATTTCTTGGCTCCCACTACTCGGTTGTAACTCGGGAATCGGCGGCCCGTGCAGTAGGGGCTTTGGCAGAAATCGGAAGCGCACATGCCCTGGCTGCTTTAATTGGATCACCGCCGGCTTACCTTCGACAAGGAATTACGGACAGCAGCCCTGTTGTGCGTCGGCAGGACTCGGTTGAAGAAACCTACCCAAGGCCGGCCCAAGGCCCTTAAGTTAAGCCTTAGTCAGCCTTAATCCCCGTCAGAAAGCAGTGATGTCTTGGCAAGGCCCTCCTGTCTCTTCAGCAAATGATGGGGGACTGCAAGAGCATCCAGGTTCTCACTGCAGTTGCCGCCAGACTTCAGGACACGGACGGCATCGTGCGACAGGAAGCAGTCAAGGCCGTGGCGTTGCTTGCCAGGCAGGGCGACGTCGCTGTGATTCAGGCAGCCCTGGCTTGCTTAAGCCATGACTGCCAATGGGCATTCGGCGCTGGCGTGCAGACCCTGCAGCTGGTTGGTCGCGGCGATGCCTTCGCAATAGCTGGAGTTCTTCAGAAAATGGCCAACCCCAGAACACGTGTCCCTGCTGCCCAGGCGTTGCTTCAAATCGCCACGATGCCGGAGGCCCTTAGATCATGTATCTCGTGCTTGGAGAGCCCAGAAACGCGAAGCTCTGTCCCGGAGTGTCTGGCAATTCTTCTCCGCCAGTGTCAAGCTCCAGCAGGCTTCGTAGCCGGCCGTCTCGTCCAATACCTATGCCACAAAACGTTCGAGGTTCGCCGTGTGGCACTGGCTGCTTTGAAAAGCTTCCACCTGGCGGGCAAACGGATTCCTGTCATAGCACTCCGTGGAATCGGGTGTCGGTTGCTGGACCGACACCAAGCAGTGCGTGCAGCCGCGACCGATCTGGCCCAAGCATTTGGCCCGCAACAGCGACTTCGCCTCCTGTTCCCGTCACGTGGAGACTTTCAGTGTAGAAGCATAGCTTGGCCTATTTTGCGACTTGCAGCGGCAGCATAGAAGTTGGTAGACACCGAAAGGCTGACAAAGCACTTGGCGCATCCGAGTCAGGGAAGGCGGCGGCTGGTTCTCCGTGCTTTCTTGAGACTGGCGACCCCCTGGGATGAGCGTGGACTGGCTGAATTCTGCCGAAGGCTATTTTCTTTGTGTTTCCGGCAAAGGCCTAGCCAGTCAACGATCATGACATGGGAGCGATTTTTGTCGATGCCAGTACTTCTTCGCTCTATTTACTCCTTCGCCTTACCCCTCGGGTTGCGGTCCAAGTGTCACACGAGTGCACCCAGACTACCCAGACACCCCTTCGAAAGCACCGCGAAAGCATCAGACTGCGTGTGCCGCGAGCGCATCCTTCGAGTGGAAGCTGCACCGAAAGATACGAGCGCGAGTCACGCGGACAAGAGTGACAGCCTAGAGGCACAGCAGCTACAACGCGTGGGTTAAGGAGCAGGACTTCGCTCTTCGCCGAACTCGCAACACTATCGGGGTATGTGACGAGCCGAAGACTACCCCGAACGACCCCGGCGTACCCCAGCAACAACCCTGGTCACACACCTTGAGAAAGACTATGAGACTATGTACATACTTGAGTTTTGAGTTGAGCTAGCTGCAAAGAGCAGGTACAACAAGAACAAGATCTTAGGCTTTGGGGTTCTGTCCAAAGGGTCGGGATGCAGCCGTGGCACATGAACAATTGACCCTTTTCGCGCTTCGTTTCTCGTTGGAGGTGTTGAAGGGGTGTGGATTTGGGTGCAGTGCGACCTGCTCGGCGAAGCAGGTGGGAAAAACATACATGAAGCACGTGAGGAGTGCGTCCAGACTCCCGTTGACAAAAGCGAAACAGACAGGAGATGCGAGGCCTCCAGACCTCTAGCGTAAGCGGAATATTGAAGTGGAGGTCTTCCATCATTCCTCCACTGTACTTCTTCTAAGCTGGTAGTGACGGCCGCTTCTACTTCCACAGGCAGGAGAGGTTCGCCTGCCCTTGGTGTGCTTACGCTCTCTGATACCTGCATCGAGGCTATGTGCAGCTCCTCATTCCCAACTTGAGAAGCCACCACGTCTACTCGCAGAAAGCCGGCGTCGAACTGATACAGAAACTATCAAGTGGCCATGAACATTCTGGCATTGAAAAGGCCCTGCTCCTGCTGCAGGAAAAGGGTACCAGTGCACGGCATGGTGGCATTAGACTGCTGGCCTGCATGCTGGCCCTGTGCAGCAACGATCAGCGCTACGTGCCTCCGGAGCTGCTGCGATCTGCGGCCGGTGCGTTGGTGGCGGGCATCCGATCAGAGGACGCTTTTCAGCGGCGCACAGCCGCGGCGTGCGCGCCAAGCCTCTCTGCATTGATGAGTGCGTCCGTAGTTCCCTGGCTGCATTGATGAGTGAGAGATCCTGAAAGACACGGTGCATATTCACGTGGATCAGGACTTGGCTGCACCGGTTGTCGTGTGGCTCAATGCTCTGGCTGCCGGCCTTGTCGACTCGAGCAGGCTCCCGGCATATCCTATACCCGTTCTCCCACCCATATTATGAGCTCCCAAGTCTTTTTGCGAGAGTCGTCAGGTCCATCCAGCTTTCTGCAGCAGCGGCTCTGCAGCCATTGATCGTCAAGGCCAACGTTCACAGCCAGCTGGCCTTAGAAGCACCTTGCTGAACCACTAGCTTCTCGTTTTTTGTCCGTCACTGGCGGCTTTGCAACAGCTCCAAGCCCAGCTCTCCAACCCCCCCCAGCAGTCCGGTGGGTCATTGAACGTGGCGGGAGTGCCAGAAACCGCATGCCACATACCCCGGCCGTGAAGCCCATGCAGATGAGGTGATGGTGCGTGCGATGCAGCATCAAGACTGGAGGGTGCGCTGGACTGCCGTAGCGGTTCTTCTGCAAGTCCCTTTGGCTGGCCCTGTGAGCTCAAATTCGCCGAAGCTCTCTGAAGCGATGAGATCTGAAATCCGAGCGGCCATCTGCCGCCTGAGGGAAGAGCAGGGAGTCCGAGCCCGAGCTGTGTGTGATGTGGCTGACTATGTCCTCGGCCGCCTTGACCGGGGTCTTCTGGGCGACCACCGGCTTTGCGTTCTGGCTCTGCGAGCCTGTGGGCAGACTCCAGATGGCTTAATGTTCCAATCTGCGGCTGGCCGTGCGGACGCAGTGGGCGGAAAGTGGCCGACATATGTAGCCAGTCTCTCGGCACCAAGTTTTTTTGCAGAGCCCCTAAAGGCGGGGCCTGACCAGCCCTTCAATTTGGAGTGAGACTTATCTGGCACAGTGCTTCATCGTTGAAGAGCTGAACAGCACCACATCATTGCTGTACTACGACTCGCTACTTCACCCATGCAGGGGCCAAGGACAGGACTGGCGGCCATTGAGCCTGTCCGAAGCAATTTCAACACTTGGAGAAAAAGGCTGGCCTCCGGCTGTTCCGGTGCGTCAAAGGGCGCCTTCCAAGCTCTCCCTCCTGACGGCCGCTCCCGCGGCATGGCGCACCAGATCACACCAGTGAGGACCAGGGGCTCGCTGGAAGGCTGCTGCCCGTGGCAATCCCCAAACTGCCATGCTATGTGCTCTTCCAGCCTTTGCAGCTTGGCAACGATAATCGTCCGAGTAGTAGCACGAACATAAAAACACTTGTTTTTCTTGTCCTTCTTCGTCAGGAGGATGTTGTTGATGGTGCCCTTGGATGCGCGATATCCAACTGTGAACAGGCCTGAGATATGTAGCATCTCGTCAAGCGTACGCGCCTCCTATGCCCACTAGGTGTCCGTATGGTTCCGCCTGTGAGTGTGGTGGTGGTGGTGCTGCTGCTGCTGCTGCTGCTGATGATCATGATTGTGCTGTTGTCAGCCGCGCACTCAACGTTTGCATATATGTCATGTGTACGTACTTTCGTACATATATATATATACACACATACACATACACATACAATACACATGTACATGTGCATTTTGATATGATGTGATGTGTTTACTCGCTTATAAAGCATCTGAATCTATCTACCTATCTATCGGGCTTTATATCTATTTGTCTATGTGCGAGTGCGAAAATCTGTCTATGTCTTGGTCTGTCTGTCTATGTCTTTCTGTCTGTCTATGTACCCATCCATCCATCCCTCCCTGCCTCTTTCACTCCTGTCTGTCTGTATGTCTGTCTGTCTGTTTGCCGGTCTGCCTATCTATCCATCTCTCTCTGTTTGTCTGTCTGCCTATCTACTTATCTATCTGTCCACCCATCCATACATTCTTGCATGCATTCGTACATGCATACATAAGTATACATACATACACACATGCAATCGTTGAGCAGAGCGCCAAAAAGAAGTGTACAGCATACCGGTAGGTCCTGGCAAGACGGATCCAAAGAGAAACTGCAGCTTTTGGAGCACCGCGAACACGAGCAAAAACATTCTCACGCGAAAGGACCCGAACAGCAGAAGTTTCTTTTCCTTGCAGGCACGTGCGCCGCATCTCAGCGCTCTCGGGCGCGCTCCAGGATGCCTGTCTGTTTCATCAAGGCGGCCTATGGGCCTGGAAATCTGCTCTAGGACCTGCATAGTGCGTCATTCTGCTTGGCATGCGAGAGCAAAAAGAGCGTAGGTCACTCTTTCAAGCAATGAACTCCAAAAAAGGTGTTCTGGTATCTTTGCTGTCTAGGCCAACCGTATTATGGTGACTTGAACGTTTGATTTCGAATACGCGTTTCAAAGAGATACCTGTGAACCGAGAAGTTCATCCGGTCGAAGTGTCAGTTGGTCGTAGCTGCAGAGCCCACTCTGTGAGCGGGAGGGTGGAGAACGCAGCTTGTAAGTAATGAGCTGGGCAGCTGTCTTAAAATCTGAGGGAGTCGATATCAAGTGACAGTTGAGCAGATCCTTAACGACATCCCTAAAACGTGATTCTAGGCTGGAACTTACATGATGAAAGCGGATCACAGCCATGGAGGCGGCGCTGATTTCGCATCATCCCTGCCCCGAAAGCCGACGCTTGACGAACCGCTCTTCACGCACAGATGTTTCCGCTGAGCAGCTTTGGAGCAGCACATGTCAGCGGTTGCTTCTGCAGCTGCAGCAGCTGCAGTCGTTGGCCATTGCCTCATTTTCATTTCGAAGGTATGATCAGCTTCAGTGCCGGTTCTCACATACCTGCTTGGCTCAACCGAGGCCAGGCCAACAGCTGGCAACCTGACCTTACCCTCGGACATCCAGAGATTGACGAGCGAAATGCTGGACGGTTTGGTTCAAGCCAGAGATGGGTGCGGAGATTCTTCAGCCAGCAAGTATCTGGCTTTGGGAAGCCGTGACGTGTCGGAGTCGTTGGGTACGGCAAAGCGGCGCTGTGAGAACCTGAATCGCGAACTTGTGAGGCAGGCACAAAGCCATGAGGAACTTGTCGGAGGAGTCGCTGCCGTCAAGGATGCAAACAAGCGTCTACTGGAACAGACGCAGTTCCAGAGAGATGAGCTGGAGACCATCGCACAGCAAGGTGTTGCAGACGAACAGCGACTGCAAATCTCTGCTGCAAAGCATGCGAACGACTACAGCTCCTGCCAGACTGAATCAAGCCGGCACCTGGCGGCAGCCCGCTCCATGGCCAGCCACCGGCTGGCAGCCGCCAGGTTGAAGGCAGCCGACAAGCTCAGGACGGTCCTCTGCCTTTCGCCATGGCCTTGTCACGATTCGCAAAAACATTCTTACTGCAGCCAGGCACTGGCGCATCCATGCCCAGATGAGCGCACAGGAGCTTTCTATGCCGCAAAGGCTTTTCGCATTTTTCACGTGCCCCAGCAGCCCCAACACTCTCAGGAGGCATCCTCCCTCCGAGCAGAGGCCCGCTCGATGTGTGCAATGCGCGAAAAATGCGCAGCAAGTTGACAGGCGATGACGCTCAGGCCGGCCCTGCCAGTGTGCGTACCCAGTTGACATACGTATAATACATTTAATACATCGTCGAAGCAGGTAGAGGGAGGCAGTGTGCGCAGAGTGGCCAGATAGATGCTCGGAAAAGCTTCCTGCGCAAGTGTGCAAGTGCCACGTGCGTACTCTAACGGGCGGCCGAAGATGCGTCGCAGCGTGCTAAAACAAAATGTGCCGTAAGCGTAATTTCAATCTGAAGCAGCAAGCATCAGGCAGGAATGAGAGGGTGATTCTGCAGGCGATTGCAGGCGCGTGCGTGCAATCATGGTGTCGCTCCGAGTGAGTACCGCCATGGTGATGGTAAGCTAAGGCGACACAACACTACTGTGGGCTCATGGGGTGTCCAGACCGTCAGTCAGTGTGCATCCTGATGCGTCACCTCCTTTCAGGAACGATGTGCAGGCCTTGCAGGGTGAGCTCAAGGCGACCGGACGTCATGTCAGCGGCGTCGGTTTTCTCGCTGTTCACAGGTCCAGTTTGACGACATGGCCCCCCGCGTCCTTTCCCACCGTGGCTTTGCAGAGGTTACCTGTTCTTTGCTTTTTAATCTTCTTCTTCCGCATTGTCCCCATAGTATTGTGCCACTAGGCTTCTGCACGCCTTTCCAAAGCAGAACAGGCACCACTTGCTGGCGGACGGTAAAGCATGCGGAAGTGAAGCGCTTAAGCAAGCATCGCACCCATCAAACTCCTGCAAGGCGGTGCAGGCCCTTACAGCCAGTCTAAAGTCGTGGCCTTGGAATGAAAAAGTTTGGTTCCCGATGACACTGACTGAAGCGCAAGGCATGAGAAGGAGAGCCGCAGTTTGGAGAATACGACGGCAAGTCACAGGCCTCCGCCTTGCTCTGGTGGCGCGACTTTGTCATTCCCGTGGAGCTTGCCCGACTGGATGCTCCGACTTCCGCTTTCAGGCAAGGGTGCATGTCTTCCGAGATTGCCATCCTACAGGCCAGGTTGCGGCAGAGGGTAGCATGCGGCGTGCTGCAATATCAATAGTCTTGCAAAATATTATGGCGAGGGGCGCTTGGGACGTGATCTCAGCCAGCTGCTGGGCTGAACTACTCGTGGGGCCGACGCTCCGATTCACAGCACCGCCCCCCGCTCCCAAACAAGAGATCAGGCTCGTTTCGCAATCCCAGGCCGGCCCGGACTTGTGATTTCGCGAGGCTGGCGCACGCCACAAACGATCTAAGCTGGGTGCCAGGCGATGGAGCGGAGCACCCTGGCGGACATCGAGGCCGAGCTGCCGAGCTGGAGCAGAGCAGCCGAGGCAGCCGAGTGCCCAGAGTGCCCAGTGCAGGCTCGGAGCGAGGAGACGGAGATGCTGAAGAGGCCTCGAAAGCCCAGTGCTGCCGAGGAGTCTCTAATCCCCACGACGAACCGTGAACTTGGCAGAGGCGGCTCGAAGAAGAGTCCAAGGTGCATGCCAGAGGCAAAGAGGCAGGGGAGCCTTCCATGTGCTGGTGCACCCGTGCTGAGAAGAAGGCTTTCTGCATCTTTCTGATGATTACACTCCTGTTGCAGCTCAGCGTTTCGAAAAGCTGAGAAATCGCACGTGAAGCTCCGATCCAGTTTTCTAGCTGCGGTGTTGTGGAAAAGCTAGTTGGCTTGCATCCAAGACGCATCGCGTAGCCGAAGGTAGCATAGTCATAGTCCTAGTCCTCTCCCAAAGTCTAACGAAGAGGTGGGGGCCGGCAGAAGAATTCAACGTAAGTCATCACTGCAGAGATAGAGGGTAAACCTGTACTACTTGTGCAGCGAACCGCTAAGCAGCATATACCTGTGACCAGGACTTGGCCGCACTTCTCGACAAGCAGGTGCTTACACGGGCATGCATGAGACTGTGGCAAACTGATGCCTGCGCGGCATTTCTATGGTCGCTCCTGAGGCTGAGCTGCAAATGAAGCTGGTGTCGACAGAGCAAGAGCTGCTGGCAAGGCAGCAGGACCGCCTTGCACCAACTGTAGCCTTTGCTGAAACGGGTCCCTGACCGAATCCACGATTCAGGAGGAAGTCCAACTCAGATGCGCAGCCCAGCAGACGGATGCGACGCTCGCGGCTGCAACAACTTGACGGGGCTCCCGGCCTTGTGACACAGCCGTCGCACAACAGCCGACGCCAAATGGATGCACCAGGTGGCCGGCATTTGCAGCAGCAGATTGAAGAGCAGACGGAGGTGCCCCCGCATCTGTCTGTGGGTGGGCGGCCTGTGGCAAGCCACGACGCCCAGGCACTGCAACTCCGCAACGAGGCTCAGAGACCAGACTTCTTCCGACATCTTCCCACTTGTAACGATATCAGTGAGATCAGGCAGAGGTGGCCTGGTGTCGTGGAGTTTTGGACGGCTCCGCAGCTACCCTCAGGAAGATTGCAGTCCATCAAAGTCGCCGTGACCGTGCATCTGCGAACCGTTTGAATTGCACCGGCGAAGCCCAGGCCAGCAAGGAGGCTGCTCTTCGGGATGGGAAGGCGAACGGCGGGCGCAAAGCGGCTGCATGCAGACGTGAATGCACTTTGTGTGAATGAGTGTGACACAGTCAACCTTGAACGGCTGAACCCATTGCGTGTCTGAACGCAGGATAAGCCATGAAACAGCTACAAGAGCAACCGCCCGATAGTCAGAGGCTTCAGGGCACGACCTGGTCCTAGCATCTTGAAGGCAGCGCTTGGTGCATGCAGAAAGATCTAAAGTCTGAAGCATGGGCCAAATCGCAAGACCCTGCTGCAAGAACCGCGCTTTCTGTCCGATGCACGGCACATTCAAGAAGAAATTGTACGAATGTGGTGGCAATCGTTGTGCAATGCAGGCGGAAGACGCTCGAAGTAGAGCTCAGGCGTGTTGGCAACAAGTGCAGGGCTCTTCTGAAGACTCCTATAGGACCCTGCGTTGACAGGCTTGGGAGCTCAAGGTCCGAGAAGAGGAGGAGGCTGGCGGCCGCCCTCCTGCTGCGTGACATGGTACCGCAGGGTCCTGTCTGAGAGGTGCTGCAGGGCCTTGACGCACAAAATCTGGAGGCATGTCTTGAGAATGCACTGAGCATCTTATGAACAGTTCTAAGAGGCGGCAAGAGAGTGCGAAGAACTTGCTCGTCCATGCCACGGCTGACTGATGTGATGCTTGATGCTGGATGCCTGGCTTGACTGCGGCTTACCAAGGCGAGGTTTCTGACTTGCGGGCGCAGCAGGCTGCAGTGCAGGAGCAGAATGAGCAGAACGGATGGCGCTCTCAGAGAGTTGGAAGCTGATCAGAGCCGTTGGAGTCAGGAACAGCGCCGCCGGCAGGAGGCGCCTGCACCTTCCGGGCAGTCGTCCGGGCTGCTCCTGGGAGTGGGCGCGAGATGCGAGGATCGGCTTGCGGATGACCGCCGTGAAGCGGTCCTGGAACATGCCAAGCTACAGGACGGCCCACCGCTGCACTGCCTCTTGTCATGACAGCACAAACCGCCTCTAATTGCTTTGAGCAGGCTGCATGCGAACAGCTCGTGGCACAGATCGGCGTGCTTGAGGCGGAGTTGCAGAGGCCTTCCGTGAGTTGGCGGTAACAGGTAGGCAGCTGAAAAAAGCGTTCCAGAGAGACGGAAGCGGAGCGCAGGTCTGAGGAGGGCAACCTGCAAAGGCGCCGCGCGGCAACCGATGCAGAGGCCGGGTCCGAGGCCAAAAGCCACGAAATTTCCCCGCCCCAAGGGGAAGGGACGCCGCCCGCAACTCGCATAGTAGGGAGGTTCTGCGGTTCTGAGAATTGCTTTTCGGCGGTGAAGCCAGGTCCGCACAGCGGCGCGCACGAGTTCCGCAGACAGCGAGCTGAATGCGGCGAAGGAGCCGGTGCAGCTGTGTCTCAGCAGCTGCTGAAAGTCTGGCGATGAGCCTGGGGGCTTCCGACAGGCTGAGCTTGCGGACCTGAAGAAGCGGTGGCGGCAGGCGGGCGCAGATTTCTTACCTTGCCCCTCCTTTCGGGGGATTTCCTGCAGTTTGGCACTTTTTGCATGTAGAGCCTCGTCAGAGCCTCCAAAGGCCGTCGAACTTCGAAGCAAAATGCTGGCAGAGGTGTGGCATGGTGTGGCCGCTTGGCCTGGAAATCGGGAGCCCACTCCGATCGCTGTGCAGGTCGGTAGTCTCAAGCAGCAGATGGGCAAGCTGGAGGCACAGAGGGAACCTTGGGCCACGTGCATAAAGCAGCCAGGAGCCAGGAAACACAAATGTACGTGAAACACTGAGCAAGCAGACTACTAAGTTTCTAAGAGATAGGTCTTGCCAACCTAGAAAGAGCCTGACACGGAGAGAGAGAGAGAGAGAGAGAGAAAGGTTCTGGTTGTTTGTAGTTGTTTTCTATGGGAAGCTGTCATGGTTGTAGGAAAAATATATGCCCGCCGGCAGACCAAAGTGGGTGTCCCAAAGTAGAACTGAACATGTGTCCCGGGGGAAAACATACAGAACCTCGGAACATATGTAAAGCCTTCACACCCCCTGAAAACCCCATGAA